GTCTGAAGATTCTAGGGGAAATTTTCCCGCGCGACGGTCACGCCGCGAAAACGAATTCCAACGTTGGCCACTCTGCGCCTTCCATCGTTCTTTTCCGGTGGAAGCTCGCGTGCCTCTCTCCTCGCTTGCGTGACTCCTTTCCGGTTAGAGTGGCAAGATGACGGGCTTCAGCGAGAAGGTTCGTACTCAGAGATTTAGTATTTCAGATGGTCCAAGTACCTCCTACGTGGTGCGTGTGCGCAATCGTGATTACTCAGCTTGTAAAATAACACGCGGATTCCTTAACACATCGTGAAAACTCGCTGTTACCGTGAAAACAGTCCCTCTGCCACCGTACGTTGCGCACGTGTTTCTGGCGGCGTTCGCGGACGACCCTATTTTCCACGCGAGAACCGAAACGCGCCCCGTCTACATCGAACACAACGCGAACTCCGGACTGACGCTTCCATTCTCGCGACTGATATTTTCGAAGCTAGTAACGTGTCCACCGCGCGTATATCGTGAATCTTGCATGCCGTTTCTCGGGACGTTATAGACGCGAGAGTCGTGGGCACATCGCGTGGGCAATTTTCAATTCCCGTAATGGAGATTATTAATCTTTCAGCCAATATTAATAGATGGCCGCGGCCACTTGCTCGGGCGGTTGGCCGCTATCGTTGCCAAGACCATCCTGCAAGGCAACAAGGTTATCGTCGTACGCAGCGAACAGCTGAACATTAGTGGTAACTTCTTCAGGTTTGTGAAGCCTCGTCGCCTAACGATAAATTAAATGCGCGATGTGTTAGACAAAGCCGATGGCAATAATTACAATAAGAAGTTTATAAAATTTACTTAATATAATACTGTTTTATCGTACGAGATGACTAGATAACGGCTAGGTTTGCTACTTTGTGCCATTTTACTTCGTCGTGTACGAAAATATTACACGAGCCATTAATAATCGAACTTGGTTTGCTTGACTTTCCTAAGGACTTTGTCCACGACGCTAGAACCTGGGGCTGAATCGTGAATCTTTTTCTTTAGCGTAAACTCGTGGAAAAAGTGAAAAATTCCATTGGTAAATGATAAACTCGTCAATGAAGTTTTCTCACTTTTCACGAGTTTACGCTAGAGAAAAAGATTCGTGATCGAGCCCCAGGTCCAAGTGTGTAGCGAATCAACTTGCAGCAATTCCACAAAAGCTGCAAGTTGATTGGCTATACATTTCTCGGAACTAGAACCTGGGCCAAATTCCAGCATCGTAGACGCAGGCCTTTATGACGGAACTTGAAACTGAATGAAATTTTTATGCAATTTTGCCGTAATATTGAGGTAATGCATAACATATATTGTAATTGTATAAATTTTTTGCTGTCGAATTTCATTCCTTGTCAGAAGAACAATGATGGTATGGTAATTTGCGTCTGAGGGTAGTCTGCTTGACTCTCATTGATGTACTTTTAGACTGAGTTATCACATATTATGCAAAACGGTCTCGCAGTGTTGAGGTAATACGGGTACTAACATGCTCTTCTATTTGCAGGAACAAACTGAAGTTCATGTCTTTTCTGCGCAAGAGATGTAACGTAAATCCTGCGCGTGGTCCGTTCCATTTCCGGGCGCCAAGCAAGATCTTTTGGAAGACGGTTCGTGGTATGTACAGTTGAGATTGCATTGGCGTTACGTGGAATAAGAATGTCGCAATGATTAACAACACAACTTACCTACATTATTTGATGGTGTAATGAAAAGAATTACCCTGTATGATGCCAAGATTGCCTAGACTGCTTTACAATGTGGCAGGTGCGAAAGGAGGTATTAAAGAAAGGACTCGTGTTTTTTACAGGCATGATCCCACATAAGACACAAAGAGGGAAGGACGCTCTCAGACGACTGAAGGTTTACGAAGGTTGTCCACCACCGTACGACCGTAGGAAGCGTGTCGTCGTACCCGGTGCCATGAGAGTGATGTGTCTTAAACCAGGCAGAAAGGTATTGCATATATAATTTTGATTTGTTCCAGACTTCCGGTCCCTGCAGTTGTCCTTGTTTAACGACGTCGGAGAAACGACACGCTGAGAATTCCTGCGTTACATTTTCAAACGAAAAAGACACTTTAGCACACTTGTAAAATTGTTCAAAAATTCTTTTTGTTCTGTCTACTATCGAAGGAAAAGGATAGTTTTTGGATAATTTTTCGTCTATATATCTTTTCATTTGAATGTGCAACGCAGAAATTCGTAGCGTGTCTTTCTCGCTTCTGACGTTATTAAATAAGGACAACAGGGACCGGGAGCATTGAGCTCTTATACACTTGGATTTCATTCCTATTTATCGGAAGAACAACGATGGGTATGGTACTTTTCTGAGATAAGTCGGCTCGACTTGTGATAAACTTTTAAACTGAGTTATGAAATTTTATACAAAATACTTCTGCGACATTAAAGTGGCACGGATACTAACGTGATTTTCTTCTACTTTTAGTACTGTCACGTGGGTAGATTGTCTCATGAAGTTGGCTGGAAGTACAAGGCTGTGGTTCGCACATTGGAGAATAAGAGGCGTGTCAGAGCCATCCTCGAGGTTCAGAAGAGGAACAAACTCAAAGTAAGTAACACCCGAGACTCGAGCGTATCAAACGATCGTATTTTTGCGCTTATCTTTCCGAAAATTTTTTTTCATATGTACAAGTGTACTCGAGATTTGCCAATCGTTGCATCTCTTTTTTTTTCAGAAACTTACCAAGCAAGCCGGCGAGGCAGTTGCCCAAGCAACGGCACCGTACACAGCTATTATCAATAATTTTGGATACAATTAACGTATGTGTTACAAAACAAATAAAATCTCTTAAACATCTTGATTCAGAATATTCCTTCACCCGTAAACTTGGAAATACAATTAAGCAAGTCGAAGATGAAATACATAAAGAATCGTATAATAAAAATTATCTTATTAGAAAAATAAATACATATTTTCAACGCTAAAAGTTTCATGTGTACAACATATAATAGTCTGTTAGCTTTCTATTGAATCCACGGTGAACATAACTGTGCCGCCTCTATCGTTGTCTTCCTCGTCGTGCACTTCGTGCTCTTCGTCGTCGGAGGAAGACGAGGAAAGTGAGCCGTTCGTATGTGAACGATAATGATCAATATTGCGTGGCATTGGACTCGTGCCGTACAATCCTACTTGAGCAGCCAGACGTTCCACTGCGTGCTTCATTTGAATTTCCTGTTAAATAATAAATTTGAAATTGATTAAAAATACATTTCTAACGGAGTATCCTTCCCAACAAAAAAAGCACTAAAGATGTCGAGTACCTGTAATCTTTCAGTTTGTTCTTTCTGCAATCTCAAAGATTCATTAAAACTCAAAACCTTGGCTGCTCCGTGAACTATAAGAGGCGGCGTAGCTGCCGTGACCTCCCAATTTTTATGCAGCTTCCGCTGTTTCTCCTTCATTGGGTCGTGCACGTTGCTCTTGGTCGTTTTATACGGCTTGAACGGCTCCCTTTTATTCGTTTCCTGTGCCTTCTCCACTTTATCGACGATATACCTCACGTGCTCCACGTTTAAAGGATCCGCCTTGAAGGTTTCAATCTCCGCTATGTCTTCTGGCTTGATCAGGCTTTCTTCAGGTGCCACGTGTATAACTATCTTCTTGTGTACACCAGTTCCCGTAGGCTGTTAGAACAGAGAAATATGTGTAATTATACCGAGTGAAACTATCATTGGGACTTGAGGCGAGATCAGTCAACCTGAGCTAGTATCTTCAGCGGATCTTCCTCGTCGTCGCTGTCCAGCTCGACGATCCTTGTCGTATCCTTGTTCTCATTATATTGTCCCGTCCATTCCAATCTGCTCATAGCCGCCTTGCCCTCGGATGCTATGTTAAGCCGCGACAGCAAGTTAGCCGCCTCCTCCACCTGATTCCTGCGTTCGAGCTCCTTCAGTACCTTATCGTGGCAGCTTATAATTTTCTCTCCCTTGTCGGGAAGCCTAGAGATGAATTTCCTGCGAAGAAGGGAAACTGTTCAGGATCGTTCGAGACGCTGGGATACAATGGTTCACGTCCTACCCACTTGTTGGCAAGGATTCTTCTCTGTCTTTCTAAAAGTTCTTCCAACTGAAACCGCTGCATCTCCCCTAAATCACCGATGTGGCCTTGGCTCTCCCTCTTCGAAGGGAACACGTCGCCAGGTATCTTTGAAATTCTCGGGAACATGTCTCTTCCGTTGTCAAATTTCTGAAAAATGCAACAATCGCCCTGGAATAAAACCGACGTGACGAGAGATCAAGACTCGATTTCACCATCGCTCAACTTTGACCTTAGTTTAATTAATTTATTCTTCGCCTCTTTCTCACTGTCGCCTTGGGCCTGGCTTCACCAAACGTCGCTCAACTTTAATCTTAGTTTAATTCAAGTTTGTCTCTTTCTAAAGTGACAGTTGGAAAGAGACAAGAACAAATTAAGCTGAGCCGAAAGTTAAACAACGTTGGTGCAATCAGAAACAGACAAAGAATTAATTAAGCCAAGATTAATGTTTTGTAGTCCGCAAGGATACTCTGTATCAAACTGGTAGCAGCTGTTTGTCACATGTGTATACACAAACTGTTGTTTCTGTCATTTACATTAGATACATAGGAGAGAAGAAGTTGTCAATGTTACAAAGTATCTACCAAAGTTGATCGACGTGAAACCGGGGCAAGGCAAAATGCGTTAGGACCTGAGCAGAATGGCTGTCTTGTACTTTTAAGACAATGCTTTGTGTTTTAAATCTTTGTCTTAAAGTAACGCGCAATGTCTTGTGACTTAAGAATACAAATCAGGCATTCTGCTCAGGCCCTTACATTACGACAATCGTGTCCGGGATCTTTCACGAAATTGAAGAAAGAATCGAAGCAAATCCGCGGCGCAACGTGACGCTAAGAGTCGACGAAGATATCTTCGCTTCTTCTTCTTCTTAATCGGCTGGCACCCGTCTTCTCCTTGAAGAACAAGGTCAGAATCGAGTAAACTGCGTAGTCACAGCCGCTCGAGTCGGGCGAGCGAGTTCCAGCTGAAATGAGACGGATGTGCGATTAGACGCGGAGGAAAATGGGAGAGACAGACAGGCAGGCAGGCAGGCAGGCAGGAAACAAACCGACAACACGAGACGAGCGAAGCGATCGCCTGACTGCCGCTCTCGTACGGACGCGACTCGGAGGAGGCGGCTCTGTAAAGTGGCGAGCTCGAGCATCGCAACGATATATCGAGATCCCCGCTTTTCCCCGAATCGATTACCCCGAAACGGCATGTCGCGCGCGACTGCACCTTCCGCACTCCCCGTCCTGTCGCCTCTTCTCCCGCCGACGCGCGCCGCGTATATCGCGCGCGCGCGCTCTCTCGCAGGAGTGCAGGTGCAACTCGAGCGCGCAGGCAGTGTCCGCAGGGGAACGGACGTAAGGATCCCAACCTCTCCAATGGAGCTTGGGGGCGCGAGGTGAACGATGCTCGGCGCTCGGCAGGTCTCCCGACTGGCCTCCCAAGTTCAGTGAGACGTCGGCCCCGTCGTGGTGTTGCGCGCACGCGGCGGCGCCTCCCGGGGGAAGGTTTCTATGCGCGCCGGCGAGAGAGGGGCGAGGAGTTATGACCGCGCGCCCGAACGGGAGCAGCGAGCTCGCGAGGCGCACCACCGCCAGTCCTCAGGAACGATGAACTGCAATGGGGGATCGTCCGTGGCCGGCGAGGCGCGCAGGGCGGCCGCTGCCGCGGACAGCAGACCGATCGTCACCTGTGAGTTCCGTTCCGCCGCCTCCCTTCCGCCCCCGTCGATATAACGCGGCCGCCGTTCGGGCACCGTCCTCTCGACGCGTCCCCCCCCCCCCGCCGCCGCTCTGTCTCGTCTGTCAATTTCTCGTGACGTCTCTCCCCTTTTCCTCTTGCTCGCCCGTGGACGCGGTCGGTGTCCGGGTGGAGAATGTGCCGCCCCGGATAATGCGTGTCGAGCAACGCCTACGTGCGTCCCTCGGCTTCCCCGTGGCTCTTCTCAAGGAACATATGTCGACCTGACGCTTCTGTCGGGAGAACGCGTGGCGTGGACCGTTGCCTTCGGATGATCGCGTATCTTTGCCCGATTCCCCGGCTTCCTCCCTGTCACCGGTGTCGTGTGAATTTTATCTAGGTTTCCGTGACGTACGCACAAGGTTGGACTTTGCGGTAGCTCCTTGTAATGCGAATGAGTAATGTAATTGTGCAGGATGTCACTCTGGCCGATGCAAACGCTGCCTCGTGCCTCGGAGCATACGGGATGTAATGATTTGTACGGTGTGTGACGCAGGTGCCGGAGATGAAAACTTGTTGTCTACGTTGGAAAAGAGTCTATGCCAAGCTATACCCGCGGACGCGGTGGAGTGGCGCAGGTCGTTCAGCAGGCCGATCAAGCAAGTCAAACTTGGGGCTACCTTCGTGCCATTTTCCAGGGACATTCTGCCCACTGACAAAGATTGGCATCTGATAAAGCAGCCGATCTTCCACATTTATTGGACGGAATGTTCTGTGAGTTCCTAAAGCTTTGTTCAAACTTGCAGCAGCGTTTTGTCACATACTCGTGTGTACACGAAGGCCCGTATTCTGAATTCTCTTTTGTCTACGAAAGTGCCCGTAAAAGAATCTTTTCGCTCAACAAGAATCCTTCAAAACCGATTTCAGTGGCACTCTCGTCGATTAAGTTATCAATAATGTTGTGAAGTTAAAAGTACCCATTTGACATATATTTAGATGCATATATGCAGATTCATGCTTCTTTAATGCAGCAACAGGGAACATTACTGTTACGTGTTCTTGCAGGATGTTGATACTTATAAGACTAGTATCAGAGATGATATCGACGCCTGGTTAAAAATACTGAATTTATATCACATTCAAGATTGGATGATTGTGCTGGTAGAAACGTACGATGTAAAGAAGGCCAATAAGCTGTTGCCCAGGACTACCGTCTTAGATAAAATACGTAGCGACTTCGCCGCCAAGAATGGCGACAGGTAATTACGATAATGACCTTTTTAATCTCGCAATATGGAAATTAGATTGTTGCACATCCACAAATTATGCCTATAATTGACAGATGCTTCGCTGTAATTAATCCAATTAAATCTGAATCTCGTTCCGCGGAATCTTGGAGAGGCCTGATAACTCGCATTCGTCACTTGATGTTGACCGCATACGACAGGACCCTGTCGCGCTTCGAAGATATTATACGCGAGCAGAGAGAGAGGCGGAACAATCCTAATTGGAACTTCTGCCATTATTTTCTTCTACAGGTAATATAACGCTTCGTGATAAATTCTCGTCTCGCCGGGATTGTCGAATAAAATATTAAGTTAAATGGCAAACGAAATTTAGGCTCCTGAAGCGATCTCGTATTTTTTTTATTCGTCATTTTTCATAACGTCTTCAATCTCTTTTTAATCTCTTATAAGTATACATGGGACAACGATCTCTGGACTCGCCGACTACGAATCGATCGCTCTCACGCGGAGCATTAGAAATGATGCTCCGACTTCTCCAATATTGATTTTAAAAGTTCGAAAGCTTGTATTTCTTTCCTTCTACAAAATTGAATTGATGTTTTAGGAAGAACTGGCGTTTGCGTTGCAAATGCTGGGTTTGTACGACGAGGCATTGGTGCAGTATGACGAACTAGATGCTCTCTTTACGCAGTTTGTGCTCAATTCTAATGTAGGAGGTACCGCATTTTTTTTAAATCAAATTTTTACCAAAGGTGTACGCTGCGCAGTGAGAACGGATATTGAGACACAAGGCGAAAACCTAAATGTAGATAAATTGCTTCTAGATACTCCAGGATGGTTAAGTCTGTTTCAAACGCCTCTCAACAATTGGGGAGGTGTGAATTTAAATAACGGCACGAACCATCATCTAAGGTTTCTTTTGGCTGAATGTAGAGCATCTTTATTAGATCTTAGGAGTTACTTGTTCAGTAGACAATGTGCCATGCTACTCCTGTTTAATAAACCTTGGGAGGTTTGTATAGACTATAGATTCAACAGTTATCGATATTAATCAATGGCTTCGTACGATGATGTTTCAAAATTGTATGTTATTCTTAGGTTGCACAAAGGTGCTTATCATTCGTTCATAATACATTGAGCGAACTAAGAATCTTAGAAGTACAGAAACCTGAAGGATCGGTAGAATGCTGGTCATTCCTCTGTGCGTTAGAGGTCTTGCAAGCATGTCAATTGTCCACCAACAATATTGATAACAATCAACAGTTGGACTTGTGCTCTTTGCATACCGCTAGCTTGTGGGCGCTTGCAAGGGACAAGGTAAATAATTTATTCATTTGACACTGTCATTTATATATTATTTGCTAATTAGGGCAAGCGTATATCTTCTGTTCCATTGTATATCTTTTTATATATCGCATTGTGTATCCCTTTTCTTTTTAGTTAGGAAGCTTGGGAAAATTGTGCGGCCTAATGCCGGGAAGTGAACCGACTAGTGAACAGTTGCACACAGTTGTGTACCTTATAGCAGGAATAGGAGATTCGGAGCCGCAGGTAGAGGGGAAGCTGACTCCTACAGACAAGTTGAAAGAGGCACTTTCATCCAAAGAAGCGTTCAAGAAACAGTACCTGGAGCATGCGGAACTAGCTATGGGCACGTACAAGCATGTCGGTCGCATTCGATCAGCCAGGTTAATCGGCAAAGAACTGGCACGATTCTACAGCGAACTCGGAGAGAATCAGAAGGCGGTAGCGTTTTTGTCTGACGCTTTGAAAACTTACATGGACGAAGGATGGAATTACTTGGCTGTGCAAACACAGTTGGAGCTAGCCGAGTGTTACAAACGGATGGACGACGTCGAAAAGTATACGAAAGTGTGCGCGGCAGTAGCTAGCGCGAGTCTTTTGCATATAACCGTGCGCAACACGTATTTGGAAGAGATGTTAGGGTATATGAAAATGATCTCGTCGCCTCAACCATTACTCGCGGAACTCGGATGTGCTTTTACAATACTCAGTATGGAAGCTAAAGTAATGGACAAAATAGTACAAGACTGTGTAGTTAACGTCGAAATCAGTGTACAGAGTTTGTTTCCTCGGGAAGTAAGATGCACCAGCGCCGCTATCTCCGTGGAGGAGATACAGAAGCCATCCATACCTAATAAGAAGAAAGGATTGAAATCGTCTGTTGAGTCTCCAGTACAATTGTAAGTATTAATAAATAGAATTACAAATATATATAATTACATTTTTTAGAAGGTTCTGCATATATAATTCTTAATACTGTAACGAAAGAATAAATTGTATTATTATTCTAATGTTCATATATTTACAGTAGTGCTCATTGTATTTTCTGTATATCGAATTTTTGTTTTATTTCAGGTTGTCAAAGTGCACATTAGAAGATATGAAACTACTTGATCTCAGTTTGTTACGTTTGCAAGTATATTCTTATTTGGACTACAAGGAAGACAGAAGTCTTGGCTCTGCTAGCGTTATTAATAAAAATACGAAGCCGCTCGTGAGACGTTCAGATAGCGCGAAACATAGAAAACCTTCAATTAATACAAAGGGCGATTTTAGCAAAGCACTCTCCTGTGATGAATTCATTATGAAACCCGGTATAAATACGTTTGTCCTAACAAGACGAGTAAATCAACCGGGTTTATACAAAGTTAGCCAGTTATCATTGGTGATAGAAGAGAAATTAGAGTTTTTATCACCTGTACTGAATCCACGATTATGCTACGAAGTAGCAAAGACGCAGCCAACGATATCCGTAAATTGTGGCAGAGATTTACTGGCAGGTCTTACTCAAGATATTGAATTAGTTATCTCGAGCGGAAGTACAAAGATAACCGAAGAAATGAAATTAAAACTACGCACATCACGCGGATTGACAGTGCAATCACAAAGTGTTGAAAAAGTAATGGTGAAGGAGCTAGAGATACCACTGCCAACGTGCGAACCATTTCAAACTATAAAAGTGCAGTTAAAAATTTTAGCTGAATTACCACCAAAAAAGGATGCTTCATCTATGGAACATAAAGTATTTAACGCTTATAACTTAATTATTCCATGTTGCGCAACAAATATAACTAAACGTTGTATTTTTTCAGCTGAATATACAATGTCCATGGGGTTCGGAAGAAAGCATACCTCTGCATTTTGGTCCACCATTGATGTCGAGTATGAAACTTCATACAGCAAAACAGAGGAAATTCATTCAAATTGTCGTGACTGGTTTAACAAGTCAACTTCTACAATTAACCGAACCTGAATTAATGACAATTTCGTCAATAGACATTAACTTTAAAAGTTTGAATCCCGTCGCGGGTCAAAAATTAGTGATAGGCAATGGAATGAACGTTTCCTTTATGTGGGAATTTGAGATTGGAAAAGATGAGAAATCCACGATACCAATAAAGACTGACTTTCGTGTAAAATATATATCAGTTAATGACACTGAAGAATTAAATAATACACATGTTGATGATGACCCACTACATATACACAATCTAGAGAGAATGGAGAAAGCATGTAGTGTTTACAGGTGCAACTTTGATATTACAGATTATGTGGTAAGAACAAGTACTCATTATTAATTGATTATATATATATATATACCTAAATATTTTATTTTTATTTTAAATGAGAAGCGGATTAATGGTAATAATGTAGAATCTATGCAAAACTTGTAAAAATTATCCTGCGTATTCTGTATATATTAATAGTATACAACATTAACTTGTTTGTAACGGTGCTTTCCAGACTTTATTCACAGTATCCTCGAAAGTTGAAACAAGTGGTGGTGGAGGGGAATTTTGTCGTGCTGGTAGTATGTGCCACTTGTGTCTTACAGTGATGCGCATGCCTAGTCTTAGTCCAAATTCTCCACCACAGTTAATGTACGAGGTTCTGGCGGACCAAACTATGTGGGCGGTGTGTGGTCGGACAGCAGGCATTGTATCGTTAGAAATAGTAGAGAGACAAAGCGTTACATTAGATGTGATGCCTCTGACAAGTGGTTATTTGCCTCTTCCAGTTGTTAGATTATCTCGATATATACCAGCAACAGAATCGAAAAATGGTAAGTTTAAGTATTTTGCACAATATACCTTCAGGCAACGTGTCGTTTGAACAAATTCATCAAATTTTTGTCGTAGACGTTTGCTATAACTTTCGAAAGGAAAAGTAATTACATTTGCCGCCAAGTTGTATAAATTTCTGTAATTGTTTTATTTGTTTTCCATTTTAAGATATCATCCGTAACAAAAATGATTTAGGATCTGGTCCTCGATTAGAGCCATTTAGTCCGGGACAAGTGTATAATGCCAGTAAAGCACAACAGGTGCATGTTCTGCCAGCAGCTCCATCAGAATCGAATTGAAAATGTATAAATTGTTAAAAATATGTACATGTTCTTTGATTTCATATAACAAGTCATGAACATCTTTATTTAGGGAGAACCTTAGGAAATAATCGCAAGTTGTTTCTTTTTGTATGAAAATGGACGAGTATATAAATATCATATTTTAAATTCGTACAATAGATAAGGATTATGTTACATTATATAAATTAATATTTTGAAATAAGCAAATCGGCATTGAATATAGTTTAATATTTATTTTTATTGCTGTAAGACAGTTTACTTCAATTCTCTATTACCAAAGCCATTTATCTTTCAAAAAACTTGAATTTTTTGATTAATAATTATGTTAATGATGCCATAAAAAATTTCTTTAAAAATTACAAATTCTAAAGCTTCTAGCTTTTACTAAATATACGTTCTGTATAGAAACCTTGTGTTTAATGTACATAATTATCACATTTTATAGTTCAATTACATTTCACCAGAAAGAAATCGTGTTATTGTAATAATCCGAGATATCTATGTTATACTGAGAATAATACCAGAAAATATTCTACTTCTCCGTGGTTTTTAATGATTCAGTTATGATAAATGTGAAGGAAGCTTGCTGTCCTAAATTATGTACTTATATACTTTTGTCATTTTACGTTATGTTTACAATGTTTCCGTTCATTTGTTCTCTCTTTTTCAATTTCACATTAATTCACAATTTGTTGCTCTATCCAAATCCTGTTCTGCTGTTTCTTATTTCGTATAAAATATTTTCATCTTTTATGCCATCTTAATATCTTAAGAAGGATGGTAATATAAGAATTTTTTTATATGAAATATAAACATATGTAAAATTTGTACAAATGTTTGTTAGCGACATATACTCATAAGCTTGTGAATAAATGTTACATATTTCTACTAATTGTTAAATTGTAACATATAGCAATCCTTATGGACATAAGTTTGATACGTAAACTAGGAATTTATTTGAAGCTATGTAAAAATATTATGTTCGTTTATTAATATTTATATTTCAACTAAGAAAATATATCGACAGAGGAAGAACAATATACATCACTTTGTTAGCATTTATTCGTCAGAATTGGATATTATTGTAAATTTTTCTTGTGTTGCCATGTTTTCTAGAATATTGAATATTATGAGTTTTTATTTATCATTTTTAACTTTTAAATGTAAAATAACCGTAAAATACTCTTGAGTAGTTATATCGATATATTTATTAAGTTGCAAATATTTTAAAACTGATTTATATAAAATTATGTTTACCAATCTTTTTTGCAGAAAGTGTTTCTACCAAGTAACGTAATACACTTATATCATCTATTTATTATATTTGGCAAAAATATCTATTTTTATTATATTTGTTGAGCCTATATCTAAGATATGTATATCCGTTTTTTTATGTAATAATAATATAATTTTTGTGGTAATATGTTATACCAAATATTTCTATATATCAAAGTTGGAGATGCATAGTTAATAAAATATATTTAAATCAAATAGTTTATTATATCTATGTGTTATATATTGTGGTAGATACAATTTATTTTTATGTTTTTAAAATATCGTGAACAATTTTCAGTAGTAGTATAAGTAAACAAAAATATGTATTGGATTACCTATTTTTTTTATGTTTTCAATGTTTATTAACATTCATTTATTTAAGTCAGTTTAACTTTTCTTAAATTGTAATTTACCCTCACGCTGATTTTCCGGTGCAAAAAAAAGGATTTGATTTGTAATATTCAAACGATTATTAAAATATTCAGATTTAATACTCAAAGTTATGCTGTAATATTAAAAAAATGTACAAACAAAAGCCAAACGTTACAAAATATACTATATACAAATATATAATAATATATCTTACGTCGAAATTCATAATTCGATCTTATATTAAAGTTTTTAAGAACGATCTTGAGATGCTGTACGTCAATTCAATGGCTGGATGAAATGTTAAGACAAACTTGAATATAAGATTGGATTATAAATGCTGCTCTCACAATCTCTTTTCGTTTAGTAATAAGTTAAATTTGTATCCATTTTACATGAATATGTAAAACACCACATTGGCGCATTACACTCAACCTGTGATAAATAGTCTTTAAAATTCATATAAATGAAAAGAATCAATTTCTCATATAAAATTTCTTCTCACGCAGCATGTAATTATTATGTTTACTATATTTGTGTCTTATTTAAGAATACGTATTACGTATATTCTATCAACTATGCATAACCATCTGAAAAGTTACGTAATTACACGTTATTCTACATAGCATTGATAATTAAACCAATAACTTGCATTTGGTATATAATCTTATTTGTGATAAAGGCTACTGTATAAAGATTTTGTTACTTTTTTAAATATCAATAGGTGAAATAGTCATGTATCAATATGTTAATAATTAAGAATAGAATTGTAAGATAGTTGTCATAAATGGAACTCAATATCAGCTTGGTATTTGAAATTTCTGTTATATACATATATAATAGTACATGTCCCATATGTATTAGTTTGGTAGATATCAGCAAGTACGCGACACATGTTAAACTAATAAGATTGCAAGTAAGTAATCTTGTTACGATCTTGCAAATAAAATTGTATTATATTGCAAATCAGAAAATACTGTATACAATAGTTTTTATTTTTTATAATGTGCAAAGATAATAAACTGTACATGAAATTTGTATAAATTGAACGGCAAATATATGTATCGGCAATGGAAACTGAAAGATCTCATTTACTCTCGGTATCTAATAGCAAATTCGGTTGCTTGCACTAAGGCTGGTTTACAGTCAACTCTTATATGTAAGAATCGTCTTAAATATCTTAGAATATTTTTTAGCCAGTAAAATTATATGTACAGCATCTATACGGAACACTTTTTGGCTAAATACTTTATGAATGTACAAAATTTAAGACGAAGTTAAATAAAAACTTACCATAAATAGACCTTACTGCGCACTCGTGCAAGCAATCGAATTCGCTGTAAGTTGCAATGAAAAGTTCTCTGGAAATAATTCCTTATCAAGACTATTATGAGACTGTAATACTGGATGCAGCTCCATGATGTCGAATAATAATCTCGGGTGCAGACTTTTCCTCGTTATCGCTAAAGGAAATTGTGGGCGTGAAAGTTGAATCACCTTTCTGTTGGCAGATATAGATTCGCATACTTGGTTGTATCACGGGTCACAATATCATGTTACATTTTCAAGTAAAATTTATTAGCTTTATATACAACAATTAATAGCTAGGTTGTGTTTGTTGCGTCAAAAGTAGGCCGTATCTTCTCTTCATAGTAATCCTTTCCCTTGAATATTTGTCCTCTATGGAAAATCGTGCTGTAAAGACATTCAATAATTTCGTAATTGCCCTGTGTATCTGTGCAATGGAAATAATTTATGCGGAATGGTCAAGAGATTAATCAGCAAGATCAATAAACGAGCGAATACGGACGTCGATATAAAATAATTAGATTGTTCATTAACTTTAAAGCATAAACGTTACGCATTACACTGAGCTCTCACAATCACACATTGGATCAATAAAATGACATGAAAGCAGATTAAAACAACGCAATTATGACGGAGAAAAAGAAAAAGGGCGCGAAATGGAGATAAGCCAGCATGAATAGTAAAAAATAAAGTAACTCATAAAAAATATAGTAAAAATATGAAAAATATACGAGACAAACAATTTACCTGGATGTGCAGACAAGGTCGGCTTTCCATCAGGGTCCACTTTCTGTAAAAAAAAATGCAGCAATCGTTAGAAAAGATACAAAGGCGTCAATTGAGAAGAGATCAGATCGTAAAAGAAGGAAAGCTAAGTCGTGTAACCTAGGACAGTGCAGAGAATCTAAAAAAAAGATTACAGATAAAGCTACAGAGTATCTATCACTATCTATTACGTGACGATGTATGCGTATGGCGAAAGTACCTGCAGAGTGTACACGCGGTTCCCCTGCTTGTCCAAATAATACATAAGATACATTTTGAGGTACTTGGTCGACCTGCGCTCCTTTGCAGCCCAATCTAACCTAACTCTCTGTAACAAATATCCGTCTCGCTAACGGATACAGATTCGTCTAGCCGAGCTGCACGTTCGAGGATAAATCCGCCGTATCTCTCGTACAGGGAATGTCCAAATATCCGACAATAACAAACGACGCGACAATTACGGCCGCTGCGTTTCTGGAAAAGTGTTCGTTTGGCTGTTGCGTCGCCTCTACGCTCCATACCATAGACATAGTACATACATATAGACTGAGCGTCCCATTGAATGAGCTGAAGCTTGTGAAGGGAGAGAGAGAGAGAGAAGATTTAAGAAGACTTTCTTTCTCTCTCTTACGCCATCGTAAGGGGAAAGAATTGCGCCTGCGCAGACGTGATCCTCCCTTCTCACGATCGTGTAAGACAGAGAAAGAAAGTCTTCTTAAATCTTCTCTCTCTCTCTCTCTTTTCACAAGCTTCAGCTTATTCAATGGGACGCTCAGTCTGTATCAGTCTATATTTACTATGTCTATGCCTCCTCACCACGTGGTCAAGGTGGCCGCGCGTCGCCGCGTTTCCGGTGTAAACGGAGCTGTGTTAGCGCTGTATAACGTCGTTACATATAAGGTTTTTGCGCTGTCCCCTCGTTACATTATACCCCACTTTATGCGTTGCGCGGCGACGTTTATTGAGAGAGCGCTTCGGGCATGCTAGGAAAAACCAGCTACGAGAAAACCTGCTTGGCTCAACGTGTGCCGACGTTTGAAGCGTATCCAGACGGGTTTTACGATAGCCGCGCATGCATGGAGAAATCGATTAATCACGGATGAAAAATAAAACACGCCACGTTACATTATTGTATACGTAATTGATTTCTTTACGCATACGCTTTATGGGTCAATGACAGGCACGAAATTGTTGCACGTAGCAGATCTGCTTTTTCTGTCGAACGTAACTAATACGCTTCGGAAGGAGTAACAAAAGTAAGACGAACAGTTCCGTCGAGCGAGACTCTATAATCGTAGGGGCAAAAGTGAATGAGTTATCGAATTCTCCGTTCTTGGACGGAAATTCTGCAAACTTCCGTGGATTAATAGAGGGTCTTCTATTACGAGATAAGCTCCTAAACTGACATACCCTGCCGGAAATAATTCTACAAAATTCTACCAAAAAAATTAAATACACTACAAAAACTAAAATATATAATAATTGCAAGAATCGAAGAAATTCTACGTAAATTTAAAAAGTGTTACAAAAATCAACCTGAAAATGTTAGAAGTAAAACACTTTTTTGTTAATTAATTTTTGTAATATTCTACAAGTAAGCAGATGTTTTAATTCTTTAAGATGTTGTTTCTCAAATTCTTAAAACTAGTGAAGCTTGGTACTGATTTTTACAAAATTGTACATTTTCATGAAATACTACTTGCAATAATTTCTTGATTTGAGAACATTGTAATTAGTGCTACTATTTCGCAGATATTTTTACAAAAAAACTAATGTTTCAACGAAGATATAAAAATTTCTACAAATTTCTATTTCAGGTCCATTTTTGTAGTTATTTATAGAAATTTTTTTCCGCTAGGGTAGTAAGGTTTCTGCTAAATTAATAGGCATCATCTGTTGGACCCACCATGAATTTATTGCCCTCGGAGTGTCTGTTTAGTAGAAAATTGATTGTTAAATTGCGAAAAGAGATTTGTGATTGAATTTGGACGTTGAAAACCTAATATCTCATATTAAAATCCTATACAAACTCGAACTCTCCTGCCTTTAATTCACTCCTATTCTTAACTTTTTCCTATCCCTATTAACAATTGTAAATATAATTGCTCACGAAATAATTAATTTAAAATACACTATAGCATCGGTGATTTTTGTCGACCGTGTCTGGCAATTAAAATTCTTATTGCGAAAAATATTACCTCAGCCAGAATTCGAACCTGGGACCTCCCTACAATCCGCGACGGGCGTCTTCGCCAGCTCGACCACCTGGGGCTGTGATAATACTATTCGCAATAACGTGTATATAACTTTAAGATGTTGTTTACGCGTTTATTTCGACTTTTCAGAAACTGTGCGTCGATACGGATTGTCGATCGCACAATGAACTGTCGATACGCGATTTTTGTGAAGATTTCGCAATAAGAATTTTAATTGCCAATAAAGTGGCCAGTTAGGTCGAATTAATTCTCCATCCAGGTTTATTATTCACTGGCGATACAATACATATACTGATAGTCTATCAAACTAAGCCTGATCCATCAGGAGACGCACAAATTTTGTCATCAATTAATAAATGTTCTAACGCTCAAATTCCTATAACTCAATATGAAGTAATAGAGACGTCATATGGCGCTTTTTCACCCGAAGTTGTTTCTACCAATTTCAACAACTCGGGTGAAAAAGTGCCATATGACTTGTCCATTACTTCATAATGAGTTATAGTAATTTGAACGTCAGAACTTTTATTAATTGATGACAAAATTTGTGCATCTTCTGATGGATCAGGCTTAGTTTGATAGCTTACTAGTAAGAATATTCTTAAAGTCGCCAGTAGTAATTAATAAATTAATAACATCGGTGATTTTTTTGTCGACCGTGTCTGGCAATTAAAATTCTTATTGCGAAAAATAATTGCGAATTATAGTATTATCACAGTCCCAGTGGTCGAGCTGGCTAAGACGCCCGCCACGGATTGTAGGGAGGTCCCAGGTTCGAATCCTGGCTGGGGTAATATTTTTCGCAATAAGAATTTTAATTGCCAGACACGGTCGACAAGAATCACCGATGTTATTTATTTATTAATTACTACTGGCGACTTTAAGAATATTCTTACTAGTTAAAATACACTATAATCCTCGTAATTTGAAAACGAAATGTTAACTTTACGAGAACACAGAAATTCACGTTCGAGCTTATGAGTCAAAATCTGCACGTGGCCGACTCGAAGATTAAAACGGAGCACGAAATATCTCTCGCGATCTCTCCGTTGCACCGCACTTCGATATCCATCTCCTATAATTACAAATTAATCACATCCTCAATCCCTTACAATTTCCAAATTACCGAACTGACGTTTTTTATCCAAAGGACCTTCTAGCCTCAAGGACCCGTTTCCGGATCGCTTTCTTGGCCAACACTGTAAATCCAAGTGTGTAATTTTTACACACACAAGTGTGTAAATCGTGAAGCCCCTTTTACGTATTTATGTGTGTATTAATTTTTACGATTTTACGTGTGTGTGTGTAAAAAATTACACACTTGGACTTTTCCGCGTTTATATGTGAGTTTGTACGAACTTGCGCACCTACGTGTGTAAAAATTACACGTTTGGATTTGGAGTGAAGGGATCCCGCGATGAAAGGCGGATAAAGATACACCCGGGAGATCGCACGCAAGCGACCCGACTTGCGCACGTACTCATTATCATGTTTATTATCGCCGCGCGACAGGTTGTCGGTCGCGGACGTAGGCGCGACGATGCTCGCCGGTGATTAGCCGGGAGGCTGCCGCGGCGAGATGCACCGGAGAGCGTGTAGGCGCGCTGATTGACAATTCCTCCTCGTGGCGGAGGAGTTGACGTATAGTGGGCACGCGCGTGCACGCGCTCCGACGCGGCGGGAGCCGGCCGGACAGCCAGTGTCACTTCCGCTGACCAAATCGCTGTCAGTGCTCGTCAGCTTTGGCTCGCCGTCCGCGACGAGCCCCGCGCGGTGTGCGAAGCGTATACGAAAAACGCGCGCGTTTCTTCCCCGGATGCTGCGCGGCCGCCCGCTTCCAAGGTGAACGATTGCTCGTGCGGGAACCCGTCGATCAGGTGCGAGACGGCGCGTTCCCGGCGTCGCGAGTAGGCGATTTCGCGGCCACGGGAGTGAAATCGCGACGGCGAGGCGTGAATTGCGGGATGCTGGACGCGCGGAAAACCGCGCCTGTCATCCGCCGCGTCGGGCGTCGACGATGCTCGGCTTTGTTTCCGTTAATGATTATACAATAGGAAGCGCGTAATCGTCCGCAATTGGCGCGAGTGTGTACAGGTGGAGGTCATCTGTAGGTGTTCGCGTAACAGATCGCAATTACACGAGGCTATAGCGCATTCGAATTGTCTTGGATCTTCGGCCAATGGATTTCAAACGTAATCGCTCGTTAGCGGAAAAAACTTTCCCGATAATAACAGAATAATCTCGTGGCATTACCGAAGTTACCTCGGATTGTAAGGCCTGATTTTTCGTTTTCTGATTAATTGTTAACTAGAAGTAACTCGTGTTACCAAAAGTTACGGTTAAATATGTAGAGATATAAAGAGTTCCATCACACGATACGCGCGCTGAGAAAACGTTTACAGGAAATGACGATGTTCACGGTTCTTAGAGCTCTTCATTCGTCTCGATGTCTTTTGTCTTGCAGTGAAATCGTTTAAGATAATCGACAAATTTCTGTTTCGATCAAACAAAATGCATAACATGTTAAAATACTCGTTAATCATGTTATTTATATAATTAAAATCCAGAGCTCACGTCTTATTGTAATGTCAAGTGCATGGAGAGAATTTTCTTTTAAAATTTCTTTCATCCTGAAAATCATGCAATCGTGGGACATGGCATTTTGAAGAACTGTACGATAGTTTTTGAAATTTTACCATATATCCTACACTGAGAACAATGTCCGATTAAATATAATCGGATAATCCAATTACATAATAACAAACGGATATATCCAATTAAATTGTCAATCCGATGAAAAATGTGATCGGTTTTTCAATCAACGTTTATCGGTAACTGCATTTCATCGGGTGTATCCATAATTCAATCGGAAAACGTAATCGGAAAAATTAACCATCGGAAACACTATTTAATTGGTTTATCCGATGAATAATTTTCTTAGTGTACTAATAAAATGTATACTAAATATAATTACTAGTAGAATGTATGGTAAAATTTCAAAAAACTCTCATAAAATTCTCTGAAATGCCATGTCGTTCCACGATTACATGATTTTCTGAATCCAAATGCAAATTTAACTTTACTCTCGAGCCGTCTTTCTATCACGTACACGGAGAGAATTTTCTCTTCAAATTTATCCTGAAAATCATGTAATCGTGGGACATGGCATTTTGAAGAACTGTATGACAGTTTTTTGAAATTTTACCATCTATCCTACTAGCAAAATGTATATTAAGTATAATTATTAGTAGAATGTATGGTAAAATTTAAAAAAAAACTGTCATAAAATTCTATGAAATGCCATGTCGTTCCACGATTACGTGATTTTCAGGATAAATTTTAAGAGAAAATTCTCTCCGTGTACGTGCTAGAAAGACAGTTCGAGAGTAAAGTTAAATTTGCCTTTGGATTCAGTTGCAACGACATTTTCGTTGCAATTGCGCGAAATACAAGATTCGAGTCAGCTCGAATCGTAAATGTTTTCGTGATAATTTAACGGCTACGGACTGCCATTACCGATGGAAGTAGTGCTTCACTCGTTCGTATTATCGGCGAACCTTCGTTCGTAAAAAATAATCGCTCCGATACCGTCGCGGCGGCCTTAAATCTGCCTTACGCTACTAATCTCATTCAGTCTAGCGGCTAGAATTGATCGCAAATCGCGCGACACTTTGCGATTCTTAAGTATCGCTGGATTATCGTCTGCTACGCGATCGCGGTCGTTTTAGATGCAGCGGAGGAAAATTCGTTGGATTATTCAGGTACCGGAAGAGCCGCGGCACGTTGAGACCGTCGAGCAGCAAATCTCAAGTACGAAAGGTAAGCGAATTCTAATAACGCAGAAATTCAACAACTACTTGGCTAGAAGGGAATTCTAATCTTTCGAAGGCCTTTCTGTCACGTTACTGACAAATTCACAAGTTCCGCGTTACCTTAGTTCAAGTCTAATCGTAAATAGAAATCGTGCAAGCTCATTTGTGCAGTACAAAACGTAATTATTTCAATTTAATTTAAATGTCTAGCACGCGGAAGAAAATTTTTTTATATAATTAATGTATTGCGTACAATCGATAATAATGGATGCACCTTTAAATTGCTGTGTTGCGTAATAACGTTTAAAGCAGCACGATTGTCTGTTCGTAAATTTAGCAACGGGTTCGTCGAAAACGTTTATTTGTAATAAACGGCGCGTAAAGCCGAAGATAAGATCCTCCGCAAGAGATTGACATAAACATGCATAATTTATTACGTGTATAAATAAACATTTTGCATGCCGAAGTCTCCGCGTCTGCCTCATGAAACTTTATTGAGCAAAACTCCTGCGAGAGTAGTTATCTTAAATCATTAGGCTGATAAGGGTAGGTCGCGACATCAAAACATAGTATATCAATCAGACTGATTTTCAATTCAGGCCTCCATCTTCTATTAAAGTGTCGTAAGTTATTGGAGACTTTTACTTTGTACCTGTTTATCATTCGCGGTAGAAAAAGAATTAAAAGTGTCTTACATAATTGGAACAATGTTGTATGATCTCTAATATTTTATACGCTATTACAGAATAAATGAATAGAATAAAATACCACCAGCTATAACGTCTAGTCGTGACGTGAATTCTAGATTGTGGCAAATCCGTCACATCTTCTTTTCTATATACGTTTGCGAATTTTAGACGCATAATGTTAGGCGCAAAAAAAAACAGAATGCAATGTGTATTCTCTAATAATGTCAAATCACACAACATATTATTTCGATAAATTGTGTCCCATGGAACATTTTATGTGTCTGTCTATACTTCTTACTCGTTCCTTAAAATCTACGTTCAAACACGTGTACTCTATAATAGTTCGGTTCTAAGCTTTATGTGTTGTCTAGTTATATTGAATAATAAATTGCTGGACAATAAATTGAGATTCAAACGTAACTGAAAAAGAGAATGCCATTGTTTCGTATAAATATATTCTCGGACTTAATTAAAATTATTAAAATAATGTAATATTTGGAATATTTCAGGTTTCTCTTCCGATAACATTATGCGTCTAAAATTCGTAAACGTAGAAAAGAAGATGCGACGGATTTGCTACAATCTAGAATTCATGTCACGACTAGACGTAGCTCGTAGTATTTTATACTATTCATTATGCAGAGTCGTGACACCGCGTCGTTTACACGATTATAAATAAAGATGATCAGCACGATTGCGTCGCGCTTTACTTCGCTTTTCTCCTTTCAGCGTAACATCTTTTTATAGACGATCACCATTGTCTTTTACGGCCGTAGCTCCGCCGTTGATGGATTACTCAGCTCCCATTTGCTCGTTTTATTAAATTTCCTTCGAAACGTAAATCTAACATAGAACAGAAATGCCGATGTTGCGGACAACGTAGCCGGTGATATTGAGGCAATTTCGCTCTGTGTGCTCAACTGTTGGCAAATAAATCTAGCGACTGCACTCAGCAGCGGATGTCCTGAGGCGCAATCGGCAATGATGCGCCTGATACGAAAAAAGATTATGGTATCGTTCCTTATCTACAACTATCTATTTCTCGAAAGTTTAGAAACGATATGAACCACTATAATCCGTAATAGCATCCGAGAAGTTATAAAATGTGCAGGTTGACTGTCGGAAAGCGCGCGTTAATACGATAGGACCAAATGTTAATGACATTTGGCAACGGACGCGTCTCGAGTGCATTTTAACGAGTCAGTTATGTCAAACACCAAGGAGGTGTTCGATGCGTCGGCGCTAACTTCTGCAGAGATCACCCGCAGGGTCGAAATCCGGGATACCGCGCAGTGTCGCGGCGGGCTGCGTCCCATGAGGTCGTTCCGAGTTATGGAAAGTCCGATGCGCTCTTATTGCACAAGTTCCCTGACTCCGTAGCCGCGCCAGATTATCCGTGGACCGCCGCGCGGAAACGACGAGTGTTCTTGACGGGAACAAGTGAAACTGCCATTCATTTAGAATGTGAATTTTTTTTCTAAACAGTACTCGCGAAGGTACAAGCTTTGCGAAAGGAGGACTTTGCGTTGATAGATCACAGACTCCGAGTTTACCTTTTATTTAGCGAACGAATAGCACGGTGTGTTATCCCTTTGCGTTGCAAAGGAAGCGATCTTTAATGTATAATTTTCTCGAGTGGGTCATTACGATTCTTCCTGGTTTTGTATGTTTTTCTTTATTGTAAGTTGGTTGTTTTAGTCCTGGAAATTTTTGTCCTGAATATCATTAATTTTTACTCAAGGCGCGTATATGACGTACATTGCGTAAAGAAGAAATTATATATTACCAAACCAATAACGATGTTATACGATATAAAGGCACTTTTTAATCTCGATTAAATGGACGATTATATCTCCCGTAATTACCAGTCTGACTCTCGCCGGTTTAAATCACAATGCACGGATGTAATCAATGCGCAGTCGTTTATATCGAGATGATAAACACACGTGTATGTTGTGTACTCATTTAATTATAGTTGTAAAACGAATGTTACATAATCTTCTAGTATTATATATTTCTAATTATTTACTTATGCAGAGTTGATTCAAAAAGTTGATCAAGTGGTGAAACAGCTGTTACTTTGCAATACTTTGCATAAAGTTGATTATGCAATATTTAATCGCATTTTAACATGTTTGCGTACAATTTTATTGTATTTCTAATTATCGTTAATCATTTGCTTATTCAGAGAGTCAGAAAGTTGATCAAATTCTGAGACAGCAGGTACTTCGTATAAAGATTGGTTATGCAATATTTAATCGCAATTTAACGTGTTTTGTACAAGTTTATTATATAATATAAATTTATTATGTTTACTTAATTACGTTATTTTTTGCTCCAGAGACATGTACGTTCTATTGCTACGTCATTGATAGTAAATTATTATTGTATGATCATTCTCGCGTTAATAATTCGCGCATCAAAATTCGTTGAGACGCATGCTACGTGAATGACTGTCGAAAAAATGCAATATTCGAATAATAAGAACAATTAAAGGTTGTGACGGAATATCTATCTCTTCACGAACTTTGTACATATCTGTGTGTCGATAAATGAATACAAAATGGATGATGATATATGTGAGTATGATAATCAATGATTTTTCGATTAGTACATTTTCTGTATTGCACGTTTTTTTTAGTGTATGCGATTTTTAATACACTAATTTTGCTGTGAGAATCTAATTTTTAGTATTTTGTAATTATATCCAGAGCGTTCATCATTTTGTTGTTCGACACAATGTCGAAAAATAATAGTAGTGTTCACAAAATTTATTCGTTCTGTCCCGTGTATTTAGAAGAATGTTAAATTATTATAAGTTACGATACGCATCTCGCTTCTATGCTTTTGAAACCGCAAAGGATTAATAAATCTGATTTAACTCTTAACTTGATTGTGCGGCGTAATAATATTATCTTACCTTCTGCGGTCAGAAGTAGTTAAGGGACTAAAAGAAATACAATAAAGAAAAAATCGCTAACAAATGTGAAACTTTATCTTAATTTTACGTAGTTTTAGTAAGACAAGTTTTATATATAAAACGAGAAACGGAAGTTTTGCTATAGAAGAAGATTGCGATAAAAAATTAGTTTACAGCTTTCTTTATTTACACGCGTTGGCATTTCATTTTAAATGCACGACGATGTTGCAACGAGAACGCGAAAAACTACAGCTGTGGGTTGTTTCTGTATTGAGAAACCATTGTTCTAAGCAGTCTAAGTATTTCTTGGTCAACAAATGTTTACTTTCTCCTGTCGAAAGTGACATGCTTCTGATATGAAACTGTGGTGTTGTTTCTATATTGAGAAGCCATTGTTCTAAGCAGTCTAAGTATTTCTTGGTCAACAAATGTTTACTTTCTCCCGTCGAAAGTGAATCCCTTACGTGTTAGAAAAACTATACGTTTTTACTTTCGACGAAGGTATAATTGATTTTACACGAAGATTCGCTCTGTTTCAGTGTAATATCTTGTTTAAGTTAGGAAATTTTTAAACATGCTTATATGTTAGACAATTTAGATATGTTGTATTTCAAGATTTGAAAAATGTTTCAAGTATATCTCGATTATCTTTTTATAAGAGATGTTGGAGAAACAAGAGTATAAACTTTTTTTTATTGTAGCACATCGTTTGCGTACAACTATTGTCAAATGCTATATTTATGTACACTAGGCATCACTGATGCCTTTCCACAGGAATTTAGGCATATATGCACAGAACACGTATACATTGTCCATGTATGTATATGCAACATGTATAAATGTGTTGATATATGCACGAATTAAAATGGGAAGGCATCAGTGACGCCTAGTGTACGCCTACATCGAGAGCGACTAAGATCCGGTTTCACCAAACGTCACTTAACTTTAATCTTACAATTAGTTGAATTCACGTTTGTCTCTTTTTAAAATAACAGTTAGAAAGAGACAAAAAATGAATTAAACTGAGCTTAAAGTTAAACGATGTTGGTGAAACTAGGCCTAAAGCCCGGTTTCGGCAAACGTCGCTTAACTTTAATCTTAGTTTAATTTACGTTTGTCTTTTTCTAAAATAACAGAAAGAGACAAAGAGTAAATTAAGCTAAGCTTAAAGTTAAACGACGTTGGTGAAACCAGGCCCGGTTTCACCAAAAGTTGCTTAACCTTAATCTTAGTTTAATTCACGTTACCCAAAGAATAAATTAAGCTAAGCTTAAAGTTAAGCGACGTTTGGTGAAACCGGGCCCCAGTCCTGTTATACTATACGTCGTATGTCGTTGTCGGATGTCGGGACCGAAGGTCCAATGAGAAAATATCTTTTTTGAAAAGCTTCCGACATACGACGTATTGTATAACAGGCCTAAGACAATAGCTCATAACAAAATGTTCTTGTGAAACAATAATAAAAAGAAGGTGTCACATCGCAGAACATACGTGTCGCAGAGCACAGTTTCGGAGAAATGCAGTAATTTTCTTGCTTTCATACGATCTCTCGCGTAAGTTCTACTACTATAAGTCTGAAAACAGCGGATGGCTATCTTCCAAAATTGCGCGAATGGACGAGCAGACGGAGATATCCGGCGATGAATGGCGGTCAAGTTGTCCGTTATCGTAACTTTTCTGATAAAAGGTTCTGTAAGTAATTCGGCTACTACTCTGTTGATAGAGGATCGATTTTTCCCACATCCATTAATCGCAAACTTATTAGCTAAGTACTGTTACATTTTATCATTTACCGCGCCATGTTCCATTAATAATGTTTAATCGGGACGCGACTAAAAACATTCATTTTCATAAAATTATATAATTGTTAATTGTTTTCATATTAGAAAAGTGTCGCAACGATAAATATTTCAGCGATTAAGAACTTGAATACAGCTCAATTTTATTACAACGCGTCTGTTACAAGTTCCTAATCGTCAGTACATTAAGGTCTGGTTTCACCAAACGTCGCTTAACTTTAATCTTAGTTTAATTCAAGTTTGTCTCTTTCTAGAGTAACAGTTGGAAAGAGACAAAGAACGAATTAAGCTAAGCTTAAAGTTAAACAACGTTGGTGAAACCGGACCTAAATCGTATCGAGGTCTTCGGTTAAAATTTTCAGTTAAATCAAAATCGAGGGGTAAACCGCTGAGCAAAATCGTGTACGCCAGTGCCTACTAAAGCAGTAAAATTTGACAGTAATACTCAGTGGGCATTACTTTATCTTATTATTTTTCTTTATCTTGTTTTATTTTTTTTTAGATTCTTTATAACGTCCCAGCAAGACCAAATAACACCGACTAATGCCCAAAAGATGCCTAGTAATGCCGCAAATCTGTACACCACAATGTCCACAGCGGTTTACCCCTCAATCGAAATAGATGGAACGAAAATGCTCGAGTAATAAAATATAACGGCATTCATCCCCGATATAATTTTCGTACGTGCATATAAGATTTACGAATTCGCGCGGACAGAGAAATACTGTTCAAACGGCTGACGGTTTAGTCTTAAGTGGCTCATAATATTAATTAGCATTACCGTAAACAGATTCCAGATATGAAATTAATTAGATTCATTCCAGTAACGCGTGAACCGGGCGCGCGATCATGCATAACGCTATCGGCGAGGCCAATATGTAACGACATCAAGATGCTATCTCTGGGTTATTGACACGAGCGTTTCCGCGGTACACATACGCACCGCTATCGAGAATACATTAGGGTTGGTGCAAAACGTACCAGTTTCGCTCTATCAGTGACGAAGATCAGAGTTTCTGGTCCCGCGGTGTGTTGATCCGCTCGCGAAGATTCTCGTTAAAGATCGTTTAAAACGGATACCGATCGCAAAAATCCCCGCGAGTCGCGGGGAGAAATGAATATTCATGACGGAATCGAACCTTGTAACTTGTGCCATTTATTTTAAATATAAAATAAGGCTTAAAACGCTCGCGTAAACGCTGTCAATTACGGGCTTCACGTCCGCTTAGAATCGCGAGAGGGCACGCTATCTGAATCGATATCGCGTCAAATCTTTCTGCGGGCTTTCACGAAACTGTATAAAAATTTCACTGAAATTCCGTCGAGGTAAAATCTGTGGCCCCATGAAGCTCCGGAACCGATAATTCATTCCTCAATTTTCAGGTCGTTAACGTTTATACTGTTATACCGTCTAGACTCTAAATTTTACATGAGGATTGTCGGTAGTCCAAGCACGTGTGAATCGTGTCTTCAGATCATGCAACCGATTTGAGTTTCGCTTGGCGGGCCCCCGGTCTCGGCCCGAGCCCAGGACGCATCCTACCTGTTTCATACTTCCTCTGCTTTCTGAATCCCTGCTTACCTGCGACACGCTGGGCCTTACGGCCCAGCGAATCAAGGCTCGGACACCCGATTCTCCCCGATCGAAAAGCCCCCTCACCTTGAAATGGCCCACTCTTTATTTGTGAACAATGGCGCTATGCATATATATATGTGTATCTTTGAAACGTGCTACTGAAAACGTACGGGCATAATTATACGCGGGAAAGAAACGGTGAAGACAATTGAGAATTTTACTCTGTATAAAGCACGCGGATAATTTATAATATTTACGATCGTTAACGTACTCGTTACAGTGTCCTGGGAAAAGTGGGTTTTCTTTACATTCTATTATTTTATGGTTACACGACGTTGTAACTATTTCATGATTAATATTCTGCTCTAATTATTTTATGATTGTAATATTCTAACTTTCAATCCTGCAGATTGATATTCCAGATTTCTAAAGCTACGACCCACAGTTTATATTTAATTATTTTCAATCAGGCCCAGTTTCATTAACGCCGCCTTAACTTTAATCTCTCCCTCTCTCTCTCTCTCTCTCTCTCAGTTTAACTTATTTTCCTTAGCTCTTTCTAAGGGGACATAGAAAGAGACAAATTTGAAACCAAGATTAAAGTTAAGTAACGTTTGGCGAAACCGGGCCTAAGGTCCCGTTTCACCAACGTTGTTTAACTTTAAGCTTAGATTAATTCGTTCTTTGTCTCTTTCCAACTGTCTACATCAAAGAGAGACAAACGTGAATTAAACTAACAAGCTAAACGACGTTCGGCGAAACCGGGCCTTAGAAATGCACGGCTACGTCAAACGACCGCTTACGTTTTTTTTTCCCCTCGTGGTTCCAACGATTGTAAAATCTTTATTATTTTTATTTGCTTCCGTACGATTATTCGATGAGGGGGCCCGTACGGGCGTGCCCGGAGAAAGGGGAAATTCTCGCGATTGGAGCGAGAAGGAGCACGCGGCACGTAGCGCGGGGGGAAGGGGGGGGGGGTTCGCGCACAGTTTCGCGCGGAGTGTCGGCGAGACGAGAGTGGAGCTACGCCGTCGGTGCGCGGCGTGGTAAGGGAAGTTGGGCCTTACGAGTTGCTCGCTCCGAGGTTGCCAGTTCGCTCGTGGCTCGGCCAGCGTGCGCCGCGTTCGGCAGTCGTCGATTGACGTTAGCTCGCGAGTGAGGGACGTGTGCCGTCTCGTGCCCCGCGCGTCGTCTTCTGCTCCCTTTTCCAGCGCCCGCACGACTCGTCGGCGTCGTTGCTCCGCCGCGCGTTCTCCGTCCGAGCCGTCAAGATCGCGCGATCGA